CTACTCAAAAGGTTTTTAAAGGGGGCTTCAAGCATTGATCAACACTTCTACTCAACACCATTTGAGAAAAATATCCCTGTAAGTGCCTAAGGTTGTTATCATCATGATTATTGCTAGGGTGATTGTCTTGCATTTCCTACTGGGAATGGCAAGGATGGTACCTGTAACAGTGGTGAGTTATAAAAATACCTATAACACCGGTGGGTTACAGAAATATCGGTGCACAATGAATCTCATCAGAGTTTCAGTTCATTCATATAATCATTTTGTTTCACCTTTTAGTGTGATTCTTCTCTAGGTGAGTGACACCTTAGCCACCTCTATATTAGTTTGGGGTATATTGTTGTGGTTACCTATTTAGATAGGTAGCTTAGCTGTAAAGCTTTATGAGATAATTATTTTTGTGTTATATACCGTTTCATCCCTGCTTCAGGTTCTCTTGGGTCTGTTGAGCTTATGGAATGTTTCATTCCTTGGATACCCTGCAAGAGTGAGTGTTACTTTATCCTTTCTAGACTTCAAATTTGTAAGTCTCAATCAATTTTGTCTTTAACTTCTTTCTGCTTATTTTTTAGGCTATCTTACCTTACTCCCAAGCACTGGAGAAGTTTGCTCCGCACATTCAACAGGCAAGTTTATACTAGTCATCTTTCTGCATTTTTATATTAAATGCTCTTATACCTTCCTTTTTTTTTGGGCAATGTAGGTTAGCATGGAAAGTAACGGCAAGGGTGTATCAATTGAGGGTGTAATACTTCCCTTTGAGACTGGAGAAATTGACTTTGGTGAACCTGGAACAAACGGTCAGCACAGCTTTTACCAACTAATTCACCAGGTGATCAACGTTCTATTATTTGTTTAATTCTAACAATTTTCAGTGATCTCATGTATGAAAACTGATTTTACATTCAAAAGTGTTACCAAACCTTCAGCTTTTCAGTCTTATGTGAAGGAACACTGAGCACATTTCTGAGCTTCAGATAATTATTCTTGGTACTTTGATTTATGTTGTGATGTACATTGATAATTAATTTTTTTCCTTCTTGAATGTTCAGGGCCGTGTTATTCCTTGTGATTTTATTGGTGTTGTGAAGAGTCAACAACCTGTTTACCTGAAAGGTACCTAATTTAAAACTCTTATGTCTTGCTCGAAGTTTTTATTTTGATGTTTGGTTTGTGGGGTATGCAATATAGAATTCCTCGTGTGTTTGCTGCAGGTGAAGTGGTGAGCAACCATGATGAGCTCATGTCTAACTTTTTTGCACAGCCAGATGCCCTTGCATATGGGAAGGTATTTTTTATGCTTACTCCTGGACACTGGAAGACTGGGTTTACATTTGAACCAAACACCACCCAGTATACTAAAAGCTTTATATGTTAAAACGACATCATTTTATACCCTTGCTTTTGAGGTAATTGAGTTTGCACTATGATTCTAGAAACAAAAACAAAAAAAATGATAAAACTAAGATTAGCAAAGAAATTTCGCCATTGCTCTCACTAAGATGAGAGCACATATTACTACCTTGGATTTTTTTTTCATGTCTAACCAGAATTAAGTTTCTTGTAGCACCCAGAACAGCTGCAGAAAGAGAATGTTCCAGAGCATCTTATTCCGCATAAGGTGAGTTCCTATTGGCTTCAGTCATTGGCTTATAAGTGAATAAGTGGCACTAATTATAAGATATCTCTCACAGACTTTCTCTGGAAACCGGCCCTCTCTCAGCATTCTTTTTCCATCACTGAATGCTTACAATATTGGCCAGGTTTGCTATTTGATTTCATTTTCTACCTTTTGTTATGCGTTTTGGTCATGCCTAATTGTTTGACGTTTCAATTTCAAATGGTTTTTCTGCTTGTGTTAGCATATGCAAAGTCAAACAGTAAATTGCTTGATGAATTGTCATTTACTACATATTTGCTAACTTCTCAATTCTAAAACATAACATTCTAGGCCTGCATGTTTAGTCCGAGTGCTTGTTCATGTGCTATGTGAAGTCTTCATTTACTGCTCTTGTATTCTTTCTAATACCTACTTGCCTGTATCCAGTTGTTGGCAATCTACGAACACAGAGTTGCAGTCCAAGGTTTCCTATGGGGGATCAATTCTTTTGACCAGTGGGGAGTAGAATTGGGGAAGGTACAACGGAACCTTATCAGTGTTCTCGCACTAGACCAAAATGAATATAAGAATTGCATCAACTTTCATCTGTCCGCTGATCTAATTTGAAGTGTATTTTGTTTTGGCCCCTTCATATATTTTAACATATCCATTTCATGTTTGTTAACGCAGTCATTGGCTACTCAAGTTAGAAAGCAACTCAGTGCATCTCGCACAAAAGGGCAACCGATTGAAGGCTTTAATTACAGTACAACAACATTGTTAAAAAAATACTTGGAGGTACGTACAGCCAAAATAAAAAATAAAAATAATGCTTGGGAGGTATCATGGCAGATCACATTTTCATTTGGAAACACACACACACACACACACAAATAAAATGCAATTAATTGAAAATACATTTTGATATTTACTTATAGGATCTTCCTGACACTAGATTACTGTATCAATTTGGTAGGCAAGTTCGGATATTCCTGCTGATCTTCCTACGCTTCTGCCGCGGATATAGATACCTTCTTCTGGAAATATTCAACTTTAAAGTCAGTCGAACAAATAAAGTATTAACCTTGTGTATATGAACCCGGTATATGGCGTTCTGGGTCTTGGTTACACTCGCAGTTTTCTAATGTTTAACTTTACATTGAGCATCATTATAATTAAATTGAGGCTACTTCAAGGTACGAAGCAATGCTGCCCAAACAACTCAGTGGTAATCCATTTTAGTGACGACTTTCATGTTGCAATTTTTCTACTTTCACGAATCCATTTTGGTCTGTCTGAAAGCATTTTATGAATGTGCAAAACAAAACCAGTTAGCCATTGACTGAAAATATTTGCATTGTGTAGATGTACGCCACCTACTTGGTTTGCTGGATAAAAAAGAAAGGAAGCAGAAATTGGGAAGGGCCACGTTGGGCAGCCCATGCATTGAGTTCCCCATCTGCTGGTTGTTGGTTTCTTAGCAAACAAACAAAATAAAGGGCCCATTCTTTGTAAATGTCCACTAAGCTCAGGAATATGCTTTACAATATAAAACAAGCATTGAGCTTCACACAGATAGAAGACAAGGTGAAGGTTTGAAACCAAGGCTTTTTCAAGTCCCTCACGTCACTTTTGGTGACTGCAACAAATGAAAACAAAGTGTCCAGGCACTTGTGCTCCTTTGTATTCCAAGGGACGAAGACATGAGTTCACTACTTGCAATACCAAGTTATGCAAGTAAAAGCACAAAAGTGTCAGTAAGGGTTCACGAGAACTAAATCAATTGACGGTCAAAAAGGCTCAATAAAATGCTTATGGCATTCGGGTCTATCTGCTTCAATTCTCAACTGCAAGATGGCTACCAAACATGCCCGCAAAATCCCAATACGAAATTACAAGATTTGATGGCCCAAGACATAATGGTCTCATACCCATGGGGCTCATCTCACATCTCAAGATCAGTCAGTCTCAAGCCGGCACTCCAAGTGGTACAAAACCACACCAAATCCCAAATGCAAATGTCAATTGTAGAAAATTAGTGGTTTCATCAAAATTGCTCATTATTTTTTTGGGACATTGACAATAAGAAAAATGGTACCAAACTATCCAATTTTTGCCCATGGGTCATCTACCCATGCAAATTTCATTGAGATTAAATTCAAATCTCTCAAATACAAATTCTCAATTAGTGAGCTACACTTACCCATTAATTTTCAATTTTTCTCATGGGCCATCTACCTATGAAAATTCCAACGGGATTAAATTCAAATCTCTCAAACACAAATTCTCAATTAATGGGCCACACTTACCATTAATTTCTAATATTTCATATAGGTCATATACCTATGAAAATCTCCAAATTGTCCCAAAAACGCAAATTCTTAACTAGTGGGCCACACTTACCCATTAATTACCAAATTCTGAAATTACGTCGGTTTGATCCCGTCAAGAATACGTAGGTAGTCTAACATCTCAATAAACGCAACCGCAACCAAATTTAAATATCTGGTTTATCTTAACCAAATTTTGTCAAAACACTTTCCCAAATGCAATTGTCAATTTTTAGGGAAAAATTAATGGGATAATTAAAATTACTTATTGTTTTTCTTGGACATTGACAACAATGAAAGTGGTACAAAACCATCCAATTTTTCAGGGGTCATCTACCCTTAAAAATTCCAATGAAATTAAATTCAAATCTCTCAAACAAAATTCTCAATTAATACGCCACACTTACTCGTTAATTTCCAAATTTTCCCATAGGTCATCTACTTATGAAAATCCCAAAAATATCCCAAATACACAAATTCTCAATTAGTGGGCTACACTTACCCATTAATTCCCAAATTTCGAACCATGTTTGTTTGATCCTTTTGAAATGGTACATAGGCAATCTAGATGCAACCATCCCAAACACAATTTCATATCGAATCCCTGATTTATTCAGCTAAATTCATTCAAACACTCCTCATTCAAATTCCTCCAATTGTGATGAGTCATTTATTCATTGTCAATCTTTGAATTACAAGTGACTTGATTCCTAAAAAGGATACATAGACATTCTGAGGTTGGACTTAAGAACAGTCGTAAAACCAAACACATATGTTCTATTTCTTTATGATAGAATCAAAAGATTTTCCCTTGTAATAAGGAATTATAATTAAGAGACTTGCATCTTGAATGAGTCGAACATAAAATAATAAAACTCCATTAATTAATTAATTATGGTGAAATTATATTGGGAGGTTCACATTTTCTTTCAACACATTACAAGAGCAGACCAGTCACCTACGACTTGCAACAAAATTAACCCTAACTAGTTTGATTCACCAGTCCCCGATCCCAAAAACACAGTAAAGCCCAGGAAGACATCTCTAGTGGCTGATAAACAGGCGGCCTAGACACCCGTGGATCCGAATCCGCCAGCGCCCCTGGCCGTCAAGTCCAGATCCTCAACCTCCACGACATCAGGGGTAATGATCTTCTCAATGATCAGCTGTGCAATCCTATCACCCTCCTTGATTTCAAAATCAACATCAGAATGGTTGAACAATATCACCCCAACTGAGCCCCTGTAGTCAGCATCTATGACTCCCGCTCCCACATCGATCGAGTGCTTCCAGGCCAACCCTGACCGCGGCGCTGCACACCCAAGAGAATGTTAGCGAAACACATTTCTTTAAAAATCTAAAAAAAAATCATAGTTTCCTTTTCTTTTCTTTTTTTGAAATTTAACAGGAAAATGGGGGATCTGGGTTTTACCAATTCTTGCATAGGTTCCTTCAGGGACAGCAATGCTCAAATCAGTTGGGACCAGGGCTTTTCCTCTGGCCGGTACCTTCGTCTCCGTTGCACTACAGAAAATCAAAGAAACAAAGAAAAATCCACATGATATTACAATAAATTTTCTCGTAAAAACCGACCATGGGAAAAAAGGGTGGTTTCCGGGTTTACCTTGAGAGGTCATAGCCTGCAGAGAGAGGTGAGCCTCTCGAGGGCAAGACGGCCTTCTCAGATAGCTTCTTCACCCTGAAAAAAGAGGTGGGGTTTCCCGAAACGTCCCTGTTTTCGTGAAGCTTGGCGATCTTAGGAGTTGGCTCCTTGACTTCGTGGCTTCCGTTCTGCACGTCTTGCTGGCCCATTCTGAGAAGTTGAGAAAGAGAACGACGGTGAAGTGGGTATTTGCAAATACCAGGTTTTAGGGGCAGATAGGAAGACGGGGTTCGCTTAAATAGATGAAGTACCACCAATAATGGTGTTTCCCGCGTCATGAAACCAAGTTTTCCCGCCATGTAGGTTCGAATTACCCGCGTTGTGCGCAGACATGTAAACGGTCTGTTCTCTCCGCACCTTTCACCCGCGCCACTTCCAGCATCATTTCACTTCTTATTTTCGGGGATCTTGGGCTCATGTGATAAGCAATGGAGGCCCTCCTACGTTCACAGCTGGACCATAAATTTCAGCCCAATGGTCAAACAACAAAGATCGAAAGCCCGGTCAAGTTGTATTCACTTTCATTTTCAGTCCAACCAAATTTATTTTAAGGTAACGATGCCTTGAAGTTCACGTGGCGATCTTCTAAGGTTCATGTGGATGTGGCTATGAAGTATCAAGTCATTCTATAGTGACGAGGGTTTTATGTGTGACCCTTAAGTAATGTCTTATTTGTTAATTATTGGATCAAATTAATTAATTGTTTGATTAAATTAGTTGGTCTGATTCAACGGTTAAGAAATAAAACCTCATCTAAAGGCCCTCACTATAGAATTTTTGATGAAAAATGAAGCATTTTGACAAACAAATTTGAATACAATTTCTATAGCAAAGGAGCATTTTATTGAAGGTTCATGTGACGATATCTTGAAGTTTACCTGACAATTTTCTAATATTCAAGCAATTATTTGACGTTCACGCAATTATATATAGGATTCACGCGACATAATATGACCTTTAATTTATTAGAAGCATGAATCATTGTATATTCATATAACTATGCAAAAATAAAACTAGAGACAAATGATCGATTCTCCACGTAGAATGGAGAGTAAAACTTATCTATGTTATTGTTTTCATTTCATACCACAACGCCACATATTATTATAATTTGCATTTTATTTTATTTTATTTTTTGCAAAAGGCCATACAAAGAAATTCAATAAAATCCTTTATTTATGTTCCAAAAATGTATAACCATATATCTTCTTTTCAATTATTTAATTTACAGATCCAAACGGAACAAAGAGAAAAACATAATAATAATTTTTTTATTTTTTGTTGGAGAGAAAAACATAATTGAAAATTTCAAATTAACTTAAAAAAGACACGGTGAAAATCGACCCAACTCCTAAATTTTACAGAAATCCTTTTTTATTTTATTTTTATAATTATAAAAATATTAAATTAATCATGAGTTCGAGTTGGGCATGACCATGTCCCAATAATTTAGATCGGTCCGCTTACCCCTTCGTTGATGAACCAAGCCGTTGGATCAGCTCCACGTAATGTACAGCGACTCAACTGCAAAACGGTTAGGAACTGAGGTCGTTTAGTCCCCCATAACATGCGCGGCTTACGGCACAGTACGCACCCCTCATTTGTAAAACCCAAACAAAATGCGAGGGAAAAACGAAAAAGTCACCTGGCATTAGCATTTTGTCACCTTGGTAAACTTCTGCGTAAGCGTGTTTTACACGGCATTATTCAGACGCGTGTGGATAATATCTCATGAAGTAAAAAGCAAAATTCGCATTCGTTCAACACCAAAGTAAAGTGAGGTGGGAGACAATTAGAACGACGATACGCTAACGTGCGCCTGTAGGTTAATTGTTTTAACCTACCCCTCTCACATTTTATCTTTTTCTATTTTTTTGCCCTTAAACTTATATTCCCACCCTTCGCCTTCTCTCTGTCTCACCTCACTCAAAGCGCAAAAGGGTTTCTTTGCTCGCTCGCTCTCTGCAACTTAACCGATCATCAATGGCCGACCTTACCAACTCCGATTCCCGCTACCACCTCTCCGTCACCACTCCTCCCCAGATCTCCAAAGGTATTTATTCCCTTTACTTCTTCGGTTTTTCACATTCGCCTCCATCATCTAATTTTCCACCAAAACCCTAGATTGTCACAGAGACTCTTGCTCTTCTCGCACATTTATAGTTTTCGTTGCCGTCTGTGTTGGTGTTGTTGTTTTAGGTAGCTGAGTTTAGGGTTTTGATAAATATTTCGTACTTAGGGTTTTGATAAATATTTTGCGCTCAGGATTTCGATTAATCTTAGTAAATTCAATTACTTTTCTTTGGTTTTTTAAACGCGATTTTATAATTTTCCCGTTTATTGGTTGGGGCAAATAATATTATGCATTTGGTTTTTTAAAATTCTTCTATTATTTTTTCATAACTTAAACTGGTTTTTGGTGGAATGTGATAGTGATTGTATCCTATGCCACTGTTCGTATATTCCAATTTTCGATTAAACCCTCTTTTTTTTTTGGTTAATCGCTGCATTTTATGTGGCGTAATTGGGACACAGGGCTTATTTAGTTCTTGTAAAGCTATTTAAGCCATTTTGTGGTAGAATGCCTTTTGCCACTCAATTACAACGGGTATGCTGGAGTTAAATTTTCGCTGAAAGTGTGTCAATATATGATTGGAATTCCTGGGGATTTTAGGGGACATGGTGCTACAATATGTTAAAGGAACCTTGGGTTCGTGTAAAGTCTATGAAGAATGTCTTTGGTATTCCCGTAAAAAAAAAGTGAGTCTCTTTCTAGGAATATTCTTGAATCATAAAATTTATCATAGTTCGAAGTTCTGAAAAAGTATTTTCTCAATTCATATTTTGATTGATTTCGATAAGTAATATTATAATGTTTTTCAGTCAATCATGCTTGGGTGTTTAGGTTTCCCCTCATCTCTGAAATAATGTATTCTCACCAGATCCACGGTGGTGCTAGTTGGATTTGTTTGATAATTGTTTGGTGGCAGTAATGCAATGTCTTTGCATTATATGTGTATATGACATATTTAATCCAATTCTTATTTCTGATGTACGCAGCTGGATCAGGTTCTGAGAATCCTATTCCACTGTCACCGCAATGGCTTCTACCAAAGCCAGGGGAGAGTAAACCTGGAATGTTAACTGGGGTGTGTTATTTTAACTTTCATGATTTTATATTAATCTGCTTACCTCTGTTGCTGCGTAGTTGCAGAGGAGAAGTTTCTTAAATTGTTTCCAGTTAGCATGCGCTTCTATCTTAGCTCTCATTATTAGTTTAGAATATTGATTCAGAGTTTCTTTGTTATTTATTTCTTAACAAAAAATGCAGGAAAAACCTCCCAGCCCAAATCCATCCTTTGGAAGTCGCTCGGATACCATGAAGGCATCAGGTAATGGTGAGGAGATTCATGATACCCAGAAGAAGAAGGATGTTTTCAGGCCATCATTGATGGATATGGAAACAGGTGGTCGTCGTGAACGCTGGCGCGATGAAGAAAGAGACACCAACTCCTCCGGACGCAAAGATCGGTGGAGGGATGGGGATAAAGAGCTTGGTGACCCTCGCAGGATGGATCGACGAACAGAAAATTCATCTGCAAAACACTTTGGAGAAGCACGCCGTGCTCCACCCGAGCGGTGGACTGACTCTAGTAACAGGGAATCCAATTATGACCAACGGCGAGAGAGCAAATGGAACACACGCTGGGGGCCTGATGACAAAGAGGCGGAAGGTTTGTATGACAAGTGGGCAGAGTCTGGCAGAGATGGCAGCATGCATCTGGATAAAGGTTTGCCTCATGTTGGAAATCATGTAAAGGATGAGAAGGATGGGGATCTCTACCGGCCTTGGAGATCAAACTCCTCCCAAGCCCGAGGAAGGGGAGATCCTTCCCATAATCAGACTCTAGCAGCAAGCAAACATGTTCCTGCGCATTCATCTAGTTGGGGACGTGGGGAAAATACACCACCAACTTTTTCTCTTGGTCGTGGAAGGGCTAGCTCTGGTGGAGGCTTTATGAACAGTAGTCCTACTATTCCTCAGTCTATAGGAACTGTGTTGGACAAAGTTGAAAGTGAACATGGAGAGCCTTCCCCTTTAAGGTATAGTAGGACAAAGCTGCTTGATGTATACAGGAAGGTTGATATGAGATCATATCGAAAATCAGTTGATGGGTTTATAGAAGCGAGTTCTCTTACAGTGGATGAGCCGTTGGAGCCTTTGGCGCTTTGTGTACCGAATCCTGAGGAAATGGTAATGCATATTCATTCATTAAATAATTTTGTGAACATTTCTTATACTTTCATCAGTTCATTTCATTTGAATGGTTTTCTGCTTGAGCAGGCTCTTTTGAAGGGAATTGACAAAGGAGATATAGTAAGTAGTGGTGCTCCTCAAGTCTCTAAAGATGGAAGGAACCCGATAGATTTTACTCAATCAAGAAGACCGAAGCTTGGTAGTTTACTTGTTAATAATTTTAAAATTATGTATGCATGTTTTTTTTTCAAGTGGAGATTGACTTGTGTTGGAACTGTTTTGTTTGAGCAGGCAGTAGGGAAGATTTACCCCTCGCACTTAATGATTCTAAAGATGAAAGCACTGGTAGTTCAAAAGGTGGTATTCCAAATTATTTAGAGGGCTCTTCTCATGAAAGGCAAGTTTTCCATCATGGATCCAGCCTAAAAGCAGAAATAATGCAGGATCAGAAGACGTACTCAGAGAACAATTTCAGAGCAGAAGGTATGTTAATTGAAGATAGGAAAAGGATTTTGAAACAACATTTCTTGTGATTGAATTGTGATGTGCATGTTGGTGTTGGTTACTATTGTGTGGGCTGTGGGAAAAATAATATGGATAATATAAATTCTACCATGTTATGTTGATTCAAATGGAATGGGAAAATGGTAACCTCTGGGTCAGTGCTCATGGGGAACTGGTTTATTTGATTATTAATAAACATTTTTCCTTTGTTTTCAAATTTTGTATCAAAGTTCCTCTTGCATGTGTTTCTATTTCTATATATGAATCTGGGTGTAAGGATGATGATCTATTTTTCCTTTAGATTTTCTTTTAAGAAAAAGAAAGTGAAGAAGACTGGTACTTGAATTGCTACATGCGTTACTAACATGAGATAGCTCTCCCCATTTAAACATTTTACTCAATGTAATTTCTGTTTGCAGCTTTTAGAGAAGACAGTGGTCCTTTTAGAAGGGCTGAGGAGGCACCCGTTAATACAGATTTGACCATGAAGGGAAGTATTACTCCCCATTCTGGCAGTCCATGGAGATCTCCATCACA